ATGAATGTGCTTTGCATGGAGCAAATAAATTCTTTTCTGTGTTTTCCTTCCCTCCTGCCTGTGTATGTGGGAATATAAATCCTGGAGGGTTTGTGGGGAACCTCTGTGGGATTTTGTTCCCAGATTTTGGCATCTGCTGGGCAGCAGGAATTGGGTAATGCTGCTTTGGAAGCATTGCTTCAGCACAAAGAGGAGATGATGATGCCTTGTGAAAGTGGTGCTGCTGCATTTCTGCCCACTTGTGTGTAAACAGGGATGTGGAAAGGATTTTATGAGGTCCCTTTTGTTCCACTTTTTCAGCACAAACTCACTTGCTTGTCATGGTTTGATGCCTCTTTCCATGAATGAAAATCTAATAAATCTTTTAGTCCAGAGGCCTCATTTATGATTATGGCCTCCTATAGAAAGCATTTTGCCTAGGGTTTTTGTTTGTCAGGTTTTGGTGGGTTTTATTTGTTTTGTTTGTTTGTTTTGGGGTTTTGTTTTTATTTTTGGGGTATGTTGTTGTTGTTTTTTAACCTAGTTTTTTATTATTTACAAATAGCTTGCAGCCTTTCTGCTGGTTTTGGTCAAGTACCACAAACCAAAATGTTCAACCCAGTTTCAGGAGATTCAGATTTTGCCACCTGGGGAGTGGCATTTCCATGGTACATCCCACCCAAACTGACCCTGCATCCTGGGATTTCATCAAAGGAAATTCTCTAGGTATGGAGTGGGGAAATATTGGATTTTATGGAAAAGGGCTGGGCCACAATCAACACTCCTGATTTATCTTTAATTACTTTACTTTTTTACTTTACATTTTCAGGAGGAGCACAAAATTCTCAGTTTGGACTCAGGCACTGATCTATCTAATCCTTTTATTAGGATGGATCCAGCAGCTGTAAAGAGGGAATTATTAAAAGATCAATATCTGATTGATGTGGCTTCTCAAAATGTCTCTTCTGCCCTTGCCCACACCCAGAGCAGGTTTTACCCTGACCTTTTCCTGCCAGGAATGGCAAATCCTGAAGGGTTGGAATTGCCCTTTTGCTTTGTGTTGCTGCTGACATTTTGGGAAGGGGAGGAGATCCAAGCTCCTGCTTTTTTTGGAGAGGGAAACCAGAAATCCAGAGGATTTAACACCTGGTGTGAGCAGAGGGAGGGAATTGTGTGTCCCTTCACAGGAGCACTGAATGAGCAGATGAGAAACGCTCCAGTATCAGCCAAAGGGGTGAAAATCCCCAGCTGGAAAACAGAAAATAGGAAATAGGAAAAAATAGGGAAAAAGCCCTCAGGAAATAGGAAAAGTAGGGAAGCAGAGCTGACTAAAATGTCTGCAGGCTCCTGGCTGCTTTCCCTGGCTCTGGGGCAGGGTGGGAGGCAGGGCTGGGGCAGCACAGAGGTGACATTGGTGACATCGCTGCTGGCCTGGCTGTGCCTCAGGGCTGGAGGGTTCCACACTCAGCTTTCCATGTGGATACCACGAAATGGACTCCAAAACTACATGGAAAATGCTTCTCTTGTCTTCACAGAAAGCAGCAAATAATAGTAATAATTTAAAAACCCTTAAGGGATGGTGGCAGAAGGTCCTGGCAGGTGGTGCCACAGCCCTGATGGAGCTTCTGCTGCGCCCTGAGCTTCTCCAACCCCCTTTGTTTTCCTGTCCCCCTCTCCTGGGGATCCCATCCAGCTGTTCCACTCACCTGCTGCAATTTCCCAGCTATTTCTGGATAAATCTCCACAGCAGAAAGCCTCATGTGCTCCTTTGCCAGTGTGAACATACTCGGGGAATCTCCTGAATTAGGAACTTGAACTTTGGGAATCTCCTGAATTAGGAATTTTAACTTGTTGTGTCCCCTGGGTTGGGAAGTTGGAGTTTTGCTGAATTCAGCATCCTGAAAAGCCATCAGTACCATGTGTCTTAATTCTGTACAAAGGGTTTTCTGCTCTGGACTCATTTATTGGGGTACTGAGTAGAGTCAGCTCTTTGAGCTTTTGAGAGTAAAAGCAGTAAATAAAAATCTCTTTTTTTTCTTCCCTTTGTACTTGGTGGATGGCACCTTTTCTTCTGGAGTTCTGTAGCACTGATTGAATAAAGTAAAGCTTCAGGGCAGGTTTAGGAAGGATATTTCAATAAAACCAACCAGAAGTTAAACAACACACAGAGTAGGTGAGAGGCCACAGAACACAAACATACAGCTTGATAAATTAAACAAGATTTCTTCAGGCTGGTGATGTTTTTCAGGATATCTTAGGTAGATGGGAGAAAATTCCTGGAGCTCTTTGTGTGATATGAGGAATTATCCAGCTGGTTGTCCCCAAAGCCTGTCCAGGACAGGAACTGCATTTCCTGCTCTAGAACAGAGCTCATCTTACAGGATCAGTGCAGAAATCTCTACCTAAAGGTCCATTTTTCTAAGTGCAGTCCTTTTCCAGGATAAATTCACTGCAGTGAGTTTTATTCACTGGGCAGGTTCAGCCCAGACTTGGAGCAGGAAAAGGTTGTGGCACTGTCAGCCCCCCCAAATCCAGGGGTGATTTAAGGTTTGTCATTAACCCACAGAGTAAAACAGGAATAGCTTGGGTTTATGTCTCTGAGTAATCCAATTCTGCTGCAGTTGCTGGAGATGAAAAATGAATGTCTGGAAGAGATGGGCTTTGAATCCTTTAGAAATGCCAAATGATAAGAACAGTTGCAGCGAAGTGATGCTGGGTTTGCTATAAACAACAAATGTTGCATAACACAGGCTGTGTTTCTCAAAACCAGATGTTGCAGCAGGTGACACCAGGATTTCTGCAAGTTATTTGCTCATCCTTCAGCTGCTTCACCACATTCCCCCTCTCAATACCCATTTTACACATTCTTTCTCATTATAATCCTGTAGTACTCACAATTCCAATCAATATTCAGTTTATTTTAGCTGTGATCACAACTCAGGGGGCCCTGAATTCTCTCAAATAAATGTACTGAGATAGATTTTTTTTTTAATTAACCTTTTCAAATCTTCATGTTCAAACCTTCATACCACTGAATATTGTGTGGATGGCTCAGCAGTGTCTGGTGAGCAGATTTATCCCTGTGGTGCTCAGCATGTGGCACAAAATCATTTCAGAAGCGTGAGAGGAACCCAGTGAAATCTTTTGAAAGGAACAAACCTCTCCAAAAAGCAGAATGTGCAGGAGAAAGCAGTAAGTAATGAATTGACATTATTCCTAAGCCCAGGGATTGATGTCATTGTAATTGGGAATTACATGGAGGAGGATCAGAACAGGAATGTTCATTTTCTCCATGTAAAGACAGCCACAAACATCTCCAGAGCTGAATTTGGGGGGCTTTCAGAATTTTCACTGTAAATAAAATTTAAATAAGAGATTTTTAAGCAGCCAAGATTCAGGTGGTGACATTAACATTTGTAAATGAGCAGGACCTGCAGAGCTGTGCCCAGCTCTGGGATTGCCAGTCAGGAATGCTGGAATGAGTCCAGAGGAGCCCAGGGAGCTGCTCCAGGGCTGGGACACCTGGGGGTGCTCACCTGGAGAGGAGAACGATCCAGGGAGAGCTCAGAGCCCCTGAAGGGGCTCCAGGAGAGCTGGAGAGGGACTGGGGACAAGGATGGAGGGACCGGACACAGGAATGGCTCCCACTGCCAGAGGGTGGATTTAATGGGATTTTGGGCAGGAATTGTTCCCTGGGAGGGTGGGCAGGACCTGGCACAGGTGCCCAGAGCAGCTGTGGCTGCCCCTGGATCCCTGGCAGTGCCCATGGCCAGGCTGGATGGGGTTTGGAGTAACCTGGGATGGTGGAAGGTGTCAGGGTTGGAACTGGATGGGCTTTAAGGTCCTTTCCACCCCAAACCATTCTGGGATTCTCTGAGGACACAATAAAAGAATTTAAAAGGTCTCAATGAAACATTCAGGCCACAGCTGTTGGCAAACAGAGGGAACTCAAGCTCTGGGTGGAGCCTCCCTGGGGACAGGGACAAGGGAGGTGACACAAGGCAGGTGGTGTAATGGTGCTGCTGTAATTTCACTGCACTGTTTTCTTGGGCACTCAGGAGGAAGTTCCATGTGCTAAACTTTGGTTTGAGTCTTACTGATAACATAAAAGTTAATAATAAATAGTGCTGAAAACAGGGTAACAGCTTGTAAATGGGGATTCTGTGGAAATAGTGACAGAATTCTGGGCTCTGCTTGTGAGGGCTGCTCAGTGACAACACACCAGGCATAGCACATGTCCCTTCAGGCACTGCACTCACAGGTGAAATTTTACTGACTCTGGGTTGGGATAATTCTGCTTTTGGAGTTTTAAGCCAATGTAAATTGGCTTTTTGTAGGAAAAAATTCATGTGTGTATCCCCATGAGTGCAGTCAAAAGGCAGGAGGAATTTATAAGAGAATAGAAAGTTGATGAAATAAAGGTTTTTCATGGTGAATTTCTGATCTGGGTGTCTTGGGAAGTGGGAGTCTCCCAGAACTCAGCACACCAAATATCTGATGTGTAAGGTGACCTGTGCTGGCATTCCATCCTTTCCACACTCAGATCCTGCTTTTACTTGCACCTTATTCCAAGTGAATTTTTGTGTGAAGCTGCAGGAAGGGAGGAGTCAGGATGTGAACAGAGCCATGAAACCACACTGAACTTGTAAAGCCAGGCCCTGAAAACATGGAGAGTTCTTCCTCATGCCAGTTCCCCTGGCAGGGATGGTGTTTGTTCCTTGATGCTATTCAGATAATTCCCTGTGTGTTATCACAGAGATGAGTGGGGTGATAAGAGCTTTGCTTGGAGTGGATTATTTGGGTTGAAACTGCTTGGAATGAAACTTTCTCAAAGCTGGAAAATAGCATGAAGTGGTGGTACCAACATTCCTGAGGGAGGAAGTTGGAACTGGGCACCTGGAGCACCTCCACAGGTCATGGGATGCTCTCAAAACAGGGCCTGGCATTTCCCAAAAGTCATCACTTCTGTCTCTATTTAGGAACATCCTCCTCATTCTTCTTCTCTCTTTGTTTTTCCACAGTGAGTGTTGAAAAAGTGGAATTGAAGGGGCTGGCACACAAGAAGAATGAAAGAAATGTTGAGTATTCCTTTGAGGTAAGTTTGGGTTTCCTTTCCTGTGAAAGAAGGGGGGATAATCCTTAAGGAGGAGTTGAGGAAATTGTCAAACTTTATTGTTAGATCCCAAAAATCCTTTGTGAAAGCAGAGCTCCTTTGGGACTGATAGCTTTTAATCAGTGATTTGAAAGTCATAAATGGCTGTGGATGATGAGGAGGTTGGTAGGTGGGGATTGGCAAAAAAAACCCAAAAAACATTTTAATGGAGGAAATTTTGGCAGTGTTTATTTAGGGGAAATACGATGCCACATTTACAGGGTATTATCCATAGCTATATCCAATGTCCATTCTTCTGCTGGAATGCAGAAGCCAGAGAGAATTTCAGTCTTAATCTGGACAAAGAACAATGTGGGCTCTGAGGGCACAGCTGCTGGAAAGGGGCAGGGAGGGAGGCTGTGGTGGGATGTGGCTCCAGAAGGTTGGGGAGTACAGAAAAGCTTTGGGAACTCCTCAGGGCTGAGTGCTGGGTTTCTCTTGGAGCTCTCAGAGAACCCATCACACCTGAGAGAGCCCAGCTACCCCAAACAGCATAAAATCAGCAGGATGGCTTCTGAGGCAGTGCTGGAAACAGAAAAAGGTTTAATAAAAGGCAAAATAACAAACTTCCAGAGAAAAACCAAGCCAGGGGCAAGAGGTTCTTGCTCCTGCTAGAACATCCCACAAAAGCAAATATTTCCTTTGTTCTCTTCCTTTTCTAGTGAATTACCTAGGTGGGACATTTTGGCTTCTGTCCACTTGGACAGCCCCAGGTTTGAGGTGAAGTCCCAAAGATCCTGTGAGGTGTCTTTGGGAGAGAAACTTCTGGGCTTTCTGCCTTTTTATGCAATGAATAATTGAGTCACTCCATCAACAGGGGGCTCATTGCTACACTTGAGGAAAATTCTGTGGAACAAGAGCTGAGGGAGCTGACTGGAGGGAGACTTTCACCACGGTCTGAAAGTGTAGGCAAAGGGAATAAAACCCTTCCCAGCAGAGGGGTGTTCATCCAGCAGGAAGGGCAGGGCAGGAGCTGCTGGGTGAGCTGCAGGCAGCCGGGCCTGGGTGGCAGTGAGGGCAGTGCCAGTGGCACTGAGAGTGGGAGCAGTGCCAGTGGCACAGAGAGTGGCACTGACAGTAGTGCTGTGGCACAGAGAGTGGCAGTGGGAGCAGTGCCAGTGGCACAGAGAGTGGCAGTGGCACAGAGAGTGGCAGTGGGAGCAGTGCTGTGGCACAGAGAGTGGCAGTGAGGGCAGTGGCAGTGGGAGCAGTGCTGTGGCACTGAGGGTGGCAGTGGGAGCAGTGCTGTGGCACTGAGGTGGCAGTGGGAGCAGTGCTGTGGCACAGAGAGTGGCAGTGAGGGCAGTGGCAGTGGGAGCAGTGCTGTGGCACTGAGGGTGGCAGTGGGAGCAGTGCTGTGGCACTGAGGGTGGCAGTGGCAGCAGTACCAGTGGCACAGAGAGTGGCAGTGGCACAGAGAGTGGCAGTGAGGACAGTGCCAGTGGCAGTGGCAGCAGTGCTGTGGCACTGAGAGTGGCAGTGGCAGCAGTGCCAGTGGCACTGAGAGTGGCACTGAGGGTGGCAGTGAGGGCAGTGCCAGTGGCAGTGGCAGCAGTGCTGTGGCACAGAGAGTGGCAGTGGCACAGAGAGTGGCAGCAGTGCCAGTGGCACTGAGAGTGACACTGAGGTGGCAGTGGCAGCAGTACCAGTGGCACTGACAGTGCCTCAGCCCCCAGCCCAGCAGCAGCTTCCCCCTGCTGCTCCTGTCCCACTGCAGGGATGAGTTCATTGTTCATCCCCTGGAGCGATGGCAGGGATGGAAATGGTGCTGCTGAGCAGCTGACAAACTGGAGTAAAGTATTCCAAAATTTGGGATGCACAGCCCAGAAAACAGCTTTGGTTTGTTTGATGAGACAAAGTAGAGGGTGAGAAAAGGAGAAACCAGAAGGAACCCAATTATCCACGACTTTCACCAAGTTATTCCTTAAAACTCCTCAGCATCTGTTGGGATTTTGGCAGCATTAACCTCTGCAGGGCTGGATTCATGGAGAATGTCCCAAATTTGCTGAATCCCCCAATTGTTCCAAATGTCATCCATCACAGACAGGATTTTTCCAAGGGCTTTTCAAGCTCTCTATGAAGCCTGCAGTTGTCTCCACTCCAATTAAGATCTCGTGAAACTTCTTTTCCTATTACAAATTTTTCTATAAATAACAGAAATTACTGTACCCAGTGTTTGCCTCAACAGCTTGAACTGAGGGAAGAGCAGAGACTTCAGCTGACTTGATAAATTGCTGTTTGCTGGGTTAAAAACCCAATTATGGAACGGTTTTGTTTTGTTTAGGAGCTTTGAAATAGCAGGTCAATGGACGGAGCAGTTTAGTGTTTGCAGTGCTATTGTTCCCCCCATTTACAATTCACATTATTGTTTTATAAGTATTGAAAATTCAAGTTTAAACAGAAGTCATGACCGTTGTTGAGTTATTACACTAGAAAAAAAGAGAATATTTCCTGTACTTTCTGAAATTCCTTGTGATTTAAAAAAAACTATTTATTTACCACAAACTTTAAAAAAAAATCAACCCACAAACTTGGTAAAACCGCTCAAGTTTCTGTCTTCTTTTCCCCCCCTTTTTTTTGTGTAACAACTCTGCTGAGAGGAAATTCCTCCCTTATGTAATATATTTTGAAATCCTCTCCTCTCCCCGCTCATTTTGGCAGCTTTTGGATGGCTGGAAAAACTTTGTGTATGTTTGGAGTTGTCATTGAAACGAATGTCATGTGAGAGGCTGCTCTGTGATCCCCAAACTCCCACCCAGCTCCTTCCCTATGATCCAGCTGCCTCCCAGATGCTCCAGTGGATATTTTGGATCCATAGGGATTCACCCCTAGCCTGTCTCATGCTGATTTTCCAAAAATCCTGATTTTTGGCTTGATTAAACCTCATCTCCCAAGCAATAAATGCTTCAATATCCAAGAGTGTCGTGGCTTGTTTGTGTGGGAGGAAATAGTGAATATTCCCTTTTTTTAGAGCATGGACAAGATGGAGTCTGGAGCAGGAGCTGCAGGTTTCACTGGGAGGGTTTTGCCTGGATTTTTGCTGCCATTCTCAATTTTTCTGGCATATGGAGTTGATTAATTAGCAATAGGCAGCCTTGTGTGGGGGGAGCCGTTCCTGTTGGACAGCAGATCCTACAAAGCAGCTGTTTTCTTTAACAATAATGAGGGGAAAAATTCCATTACTCCGTGGTTGCTTGCTTAACTCTGGATGTCTGCAGGGTGTAAGGGCTGTGTAAACTCTGAGGGCTTTTCCAAGCACCCAGAGCAGTTGATAAATGTAAAAACAGCAAGAATTGGGCAGCAATTTTGTCCTTGTGCACATAAAAAAGTGTTTCTTTCTTGCTGTCACCCATCACAACATCTGTGAGGGAGAGTTGATACCAATTAGTGAATTTTGAGGAACTAAATTAAATTAATTACTAAAGCAAATGCTTCTTGCTCCTCCCCAAGGTCCTGTGGTCTGATTCTTCGGTGACGTTGGTAACCAAATCTTCTGCTGAAGTGACTGAATTCATTTCAAAGGTAAAGACAATAAAAAAACACTTTGAAAAGGAAAAAAAATGTTTCTGAAAAGGAAAAAAAAATGTTTCGTCCCTCTCTCTAATTTTATTCAATGATACTTCTCAAAATGTGCCAAGATAATTCAGATTGAATTTAATAAAATATTTGATTTATAACAGGCAACGGCCTGAACCATAGAAATAACAAAACTTTTCAAGTTTAATTTGTCATATCCTCCCCCTTTAGCTGTCTCAGCTGTATCCAGAAGAAAACTTGGAGAAATTCATTCCCTGCTTAGCTGGTCCAGATTCCTTTTACCTGGAACGGAACCACATGGACCTGGAATCAGACCTGAGGTATGCTGGGATCTTGTGGGGTTTTCATCTTGACACTGAGCTTCTTTCACTGAGAAAAAGAAAAAAAACCAGGAAATAGAAATATTATCTCCATATTCTAAATTACTGCAAAGAAATTAGAGCCTGATCCTAAGCTTTTTTTCCTGGATGTTCTATTAATTTCAGTGCATAACATTTTTTCAGGAATTCTTTTTGAGAAATACAGATGGAAATAATATTCAGTGTTAAGCTTCCTGGAGAATTGATATTTCCTCATTCCTTGTGAAGAACAAATAGAGGATCACTGGCTTTGCAAAAGTTTGTTTTGGACTCAAAAATAACCAGAATTGTTTAAAACAACCACTCAAAACTCAGGAAAAAATAAAAGCCTGAATATTCACCCATCTGTACTGAGGAATGGGTTGTGGGGATTTTTTCTCCCCTTTCACAGAGTTTTTATTTTCTCATTTTAGGTTGTCATTTTATTTTAGGTGTTTATTTTACTTTAATATTTAAAAGTTAGGTATGTATTTAGCTATTATTAAAAGATTACATTTTTGGAAGCCTTTAACAGCTAAGAAATTTTTTGAAGTCTTACCTTGTACTTCCTCAAATTATCACAAATCATCTGGCCATTATTTAATATAAAGTATATTTTTAGTAGCATAATCTGTGGCAGATCACATCAGGTTTCTCTTTCTAAATATGATTTTCCTAGGAAAATTGGAGTGACTTAAATTCCTTTCAGCTTCTACTGTCTTTATCTACACAAAATGAGATTATTGTAATATTAATATTATTCTGATCCTAATATGTTATTATAGGATTAATTATAGAATTATTTATATTATAGATTATTATTACATTATTATTATATAATTATTATATAATTAGATATAATATGATTAGATATAATTATAATATAAATAATATAATATAATATATATAATATATGTTGTATTGTATTATATTATATTATATTATATTATATTATATATTATATATTATATAATATATAATATATAATATATAATATATAATATATAATATATAATATATGTATATAATATAATATATTATATTATATAATAATATATATTTATTATATGTATTTATAATATATAATTATTATATAATTATATATCATATAATATATTCTATATTATATTATATATTATATAATATATATAATATAATATTATATATAATATTATATAATATATTATAATAATATATTATATATATTATAATATTATATTATATATATTATTATATATAATATAATATTATAATATAATATTATGATATAGATAATATAATATTATATATTATAATATTATATTATGTATAATATTATATAATATATTATAATAATATATTATATATATAATATATTATAATATATTATATCTATATAAATATATATAATATATTATAATTATTATATTATTATTATGTTATTATAGAATTAAATGACACTTTAAAATATTAATTATTATTTATTAGAGCTTCTCCTTTCCATTTTTTTTTTTGTCCCTAAGCCATGGTGGATGTTGGTTTTCCATAGGCAGCAGCCAGCAGGTGCAAGGCTGGATTGTTTTTCATGGCAGGCAGCATTGCCAGTGCTTGCTGTGCTCCAAGGAGAGTTTGGGAGGCTGCAGGGAGTGTGTGTGCCTGCTTGGGAACAGCAGCCTCTGCAAATCTGGGTTAATGGAGCAGCACCTGCCCTGCCAGGGCTCAGCTGCAGCTCTGCAGCTGGGGAGAGGCTGCTCTAAGGTGCTGCTCTGCTGTGAAATTCAGCCCTGAACTCTGGGGTTTCCAGCTGGGAAACACCTCTGGGTGGGTGAGGTGCAAAGCTTTGGGAAATTGGATTTTTTTGGTGGAATCCCAGAGTGGTTTGGGTGGAAGGGAGCCCAAAGCTCATCCCATCCCACCCCTGCCATGGCAGGGACACCTTCCACTGTCCCAGGGTGCTCCCAGCCCTGTCCAGCCTGGCCTTGGGATCCAAGGGCAGCCACAGCTGCTCTGGGCACCTGTGCCAGGGAAGGATTTCTCCCCAGTATTTTATCTAAATCCATCCTCTTCCAGCTCAAAGCTGTCCCTCCTTGTCCTGCCCCTCCTTCCCTTGTCCCGCAGCTCCCTGGAGGCACTGGACTGCTGTTAAAGGCCTTTTTTCCCTTAAAAGAGGCACAGGGAAAACGTGACAGAAGTTTTGCCCTAAACTGCCAGACTCTGCATCTGCTGTTTATCTCCAAGAGGAGGAAATTCAATAACAGATCCATCTCTATTTTATATTCCTCAGGTTCCAGCATTTGAAAGGCAATTTTCTAGTTTACATTTGAACATTTTCTGCCTTAGGAGTGTTCAGGGTTGCTGAATGAGGGGTCTTTGCTGAAACATTCACCAGAGTGAAAACAACCCTGGGGTAACAGGGTTGTTTGGTATTAAAAATAAGAATATCCATAAATTTCCAGAATTCAGAATGGCATGGTGTGTTTCAGCTTTTCAATTTCCAATCTGACTTCCAAGTGTGTTGTCCAGAGTGCAGTCCTGATGGATTTGGGAGGCTCTAACAGAGCAGGGCCTTTGTTTGCTGCAGGTACCTGGCCCCGTTCCCTTCCCATGTGGTGAAAAACGACCACGTCAGGAAGTTCTTCAGCACTTCATCTCCCTCACAGCAACTTCAGAGCTCAAGTGAGTTGAAATAAAGTTTAAAAAATATTTTTTTTTTTGTACTGCATTTCATAAACTGATGCCATTTGTGACTCTGTTCCTTGTTTGCAGATCCTGGCAACCCCTCCCTGTATAAAGTAGGAACTACGCTGGGAACATCTGGAAGGTGAAATATTTATCTTGTTTATAATTCATTCTCTTAAAAGGAAATTTTTATGTCCTCCAACAAAACCCAGACCCCCTTCAAGGAGCCAATATTGTGGCTTCCATATGGAAAGATTAAAAATTTCCATGGGATTATATTTGGGCATCTTTACTTCTTTTTAATAATGCAAAGGCCGTTCTATCAAAAGCTGTTTTAAATCGCAGAGAGGCAGGAGAATATTTCAGATCTGTGATTAGTGAGGGAAATTATTGAAGGAAAATTCTGTTTAGGTTGAGATCAGCTTCACCCTTTGCCAGAAGTGCCCTGTTTTACTGAGCTGTGGAGCAGGGCAGCTACAAATCCATACCCTGGCTCGAGTGAGTGTCGCAGACATTTTTTCACAGAAATACTTACTTTCAGATTTGTCCATTTTCTGGGAAGCTGAGGGCCCCAGAAAGAGAATGTAAACAATTGTTATCAGCTGCTGTAGAATCCAATAGGATGCACCCGTGATTAATTCATGTTCCCATGTTTATAATTAAGGGCCAATCACAGGAGCAAGCTGGGGACAGAGTGCCTGGACACAACTTTGTTAGAGATTCTTTTCTTTTCTATTCTCAGCTTAGCAGCAGCCTCTGCAACACCTCTCTCTTTATTCTATTTAGTAGAGTTATAATGTATTATATATCATATATCAATAAATCCAGCCCTCTGATCAAGAAACAAGATTCTCGTCTTTCTCTCACCACCCCAGCGACCCACTCAGATCGCTGTAATAAGTGGGGTGGTTTTTCCCAGAATTTCTGTCGATTTTTCCAGATTTCAGTGGCTGATCTCTGGGTGTCACAGCTCATCCAACTAACCCCAGGCCTGTTCCTGTTTTGCAGACCTATATGTGGGGTGGCTGGAATTCAGAGTTCCCAGAGCCACGTGCAGCACTCGGGCGCTGCCCCGGTGTCCCTGGCGCACTGCGCGCACTCCGGCGGCGCCGGCTCCGCGCTGGGCTACCGCTCCCAGCTGGAGAGCTCCTCCCCTGCCATGCTGATGTCTTCCAGCCCCCAAACCCCTCAGACGCAGGAGCAAAACGGGATCCTGGACTGGCTCAGGAAGCTGCGCTTGCACAAGTATTACCCCGTGTTCAAACAGCTCACCATGGAGAAGGTAGGGCAGGACGTGGAGGGGAGCAGGCAGCTTTGAGTTATCCCCACCTTCTCCAGGCTGGGAAATCTGCACTGAGGGTCACACACAAGTTTCTGGCACGTGCTGGGGAGGTTTTCACTTTGTGAAAGCAGTAATGAATTGATGAAAACCTTCTTGTGTTGTGTCCGGGGCTGTCCAACAGCTGCTGCTCCTCCCAGGCTTCCTCATGGAGTGCTTGGAGATCCAGCTGGGATGCTGCCTCAGCAGCTCTGCTTGGCTCCCTGAACTTCCCTGTGTGTGCTGGAGATACCTAAATATATTGATTTCTCTTTATTTCTGCTTCTTGATTGATGTTTCTCCCAAAATATTTGGTTATCCTCATTTTAAGAATTAATTTTCAGAGACTCGTGGCATGAATATGAACATGAACATGAGTGAGTGAGGTTTGTTTCCTGCAGAAATTCCTGTGGAAAAATCATCTCATGTGTCTTTGCATTGCAAGAGTCCTAGATCACACCTGTGTGTGCTGGATTTGATCTCAGTGAGGTTTTGGAGCATTTTCCCAGCTCCATGGGAGATTCCTTGTCCTCTGTCTTTTGGCCTGGAACGCCCCCCAGTGGAGGGAGGGCTTGGGCTCAGCTTTGTGCTGCTTTGGAATATTTTATGGATTTAATTTCAATCTCTTACCAGAGGCTTCTGATTTAATTTTCTTCATTATAAGAAGGGAAATATACTGTGGTTCTTTTTTCTTTAATAAAGTAGTAAAACTCTATATATTCCATTTTATTTTTAAAAAGCAAATATTATTATGCATACTTCACTGGCTTTCATTTTAATTACATTATAATATAAATGTCTGTATCTATCTCTATATTTTATTATTAAATTTAATATTGGTGTATATTTTTACTCCACTTCCGTGGTAAATGACACACTGGGAAAACTGGAGTGATTTTCTAAGGTCCTGGAATTCACTGATAGCACCAAGTTCTGTTTTAATTTAATTCTATTTTAATATGTACACGAGTTATTTCATCTTTATTGTGGCTGGTTAATACACACACACCTAATTAAATTAAATCTGCAGGTTTCTTCCTTTCATGCCTGTCCCCCACACTTTCCTTTTACACTATAATTGAAAACTGGAGTAGAGACTTTCTTTGAATTTAAAAATGGTTTTAAAGTTGGCTTTTGGAATTTTTCTTCACTAAAAATGGGAATAAGAATATTTCAGGGTATAAAACTAAACATATTTTTTCTTTCCAAGTTTCTGAGTCTTACTGAGGAAGATCTGAATAAGTTTGAGTCCCTCACCATGGGAGCAAAGAAGAAGCTCAAGACCCAGCTAGAGCTGGAGAAGTAAGTGAGGGCTGGGTGAACTTCTTTTATGGTCAAAAAATGCAAATTTTACTTCCCAGAGCACAAACCTGCCATGATTCCCATCTGGAGATATGGATGATTATTATCTCCATTACTAAACAATATTTAGCACTTTCTGGTTTACTGCTGCCTGGTCAGGGTTGTGATAAAAATACCAGATCTTTAAATCTACAAAATACACACATTGTGTTTAGGTGTTTTTAAACTTGTATCACATTTCTGGCAGAGATTTTGGGCTTCCCATCCACTTGCCATTGGTGGGAGCTGTTGGGTTTGCAAGCCCAGGGGATGCACTCCCAAAGTCAGGGCTTTATTTCCTAGCAAGTGACAATTTTCTGGCTCCCATCCATGTGGATGGAGCACAGCTACTTCAGGAGCTGCCTCAGTGTCCCACAGTGACCCCAGGCAGCTGTGACCGCCCTTTGGGGACACTGATGCAATAGATTGTCCTGGTTTTTGCATCTCCACTTACAGGAAAGTGTTTATTCTGCAGCTACTGCTGTTCCTTAAAAAGCAATTAGAAATCCAAATCTGTGCCCATTTTTCAGAGCTCCTTGGCAGCGTTTATCAGCAATCTTAGTTTTTCCAGAGTTTGTTTGGAAAACTTGGGGCTGTGTTTGTTTTCTCTTTGGGTTTGGGATGTGCTGACATAATATGTGACAGAATTTTAGAGTTTAGTCAGAGTTTGGTGATGTTTTACCCTGGACAAATAAGAGCACAGTGTTGTAATCAGATGGCAAATAGTCCAGCCCTAAGTGCTGGCAGTTCTGGTCGGCACTGCTGTGATTTCCAAGTGTTTCCATTTGAAATGGGCACAGCAGCAGTGGATTGTTCAATGGGCTTTGTCTGCTTTGTGTTCATTCAGAAGTGGATTTATTTGTGGTTGTGTTTTAGCCAATTTCTGTCTCTTCACGCTTCTCTCCATCACCCTGTAGGGAGAAGTCAGAGAAACGGTGCCTAAACCCCTCCACACCTTCCTCAGTGACCAGCAGTGGGGTGGCCAGGGTTCCCCCCACCTCCCACGTGGGGCCCATCCAGAGTCTCCGGGGCAACCACGCTGCAGGTGAGGGGAGCAGGGGACACTGCTGTGCCCAGCTGTGCCTGCACGAGGGTCACCTCACTGCTGTGCTGCTGCTTCCCCGAGCTTTATCTTCCAAAAGCCATTGGTTTAATGGGGAGCAAGCAAACTGTCTGATTTTGGTGATTACTGGGGGTAATAAAATGCGATTTTTCCCATGGCTCTGGAGGGAATGGGCAGCTGCTCTGTTCCATCTGTGATGTGTCCCTGTACATGCTGAGCATGGCCTCAGTGTCCTGCTGAGGTGCTGTCAGTGTCACCACCGTGTCCCCTGTCCCCGCAGAGCTGCGAGTGGACGTGGATCAGGCAGCCCACCCTCTGCCCAGGGAGGGCAGCTCCTCCGAGTACTCCAGCTCCAGCTCCAGCCCCATGGGGATCCAGGCGCGGGAGGAGAGCTCGGACAGCGCCGAGGAGAACGAGAGACGTAAGCCGAGCCCCGCGGCCGCGCCCCCTGCCCCGCCCAGCGCTGTCCTCACCGCCCCTCTCTCCGCAGGCCTGGAGCTCCACCTGGACGCCTCGGACAAGGAGAAGCCGGTGATGCTGCTGAACCATTTCCCCTCGAGCTCTGCCAGGCCCACGGCCCAGGTGCTGCCCGTGCAGAACGACGCTGGCTCGGGCCCTGGCGGGCACCACGCGCTGCCCATGCAGATGCTGTCCCCGAGCCCCTCACACATGGCCCCCATCCGCATGCTCGGCTCCGTGCACAAACCCGAGCGCGGCTCCGCCGACATGAAGCTGCTCTCGTCCTCCGTGCACTCCCTCTTGTCTCTGGAGGAAAGGAATAAAGTGTCTCCCGGCTCGAGGGGCAGCATCAAGATGGAGAAGGGCTTTGGGAACGCCGTGGTGGACGTCATGTCCGCGTCCTCGCCGCACCAGCCCCTGCAGGTGCTGTCGGGGGGCGCCGAGAGCAGCTCCCCAACGTCCACCATGAACTTTGGGCCTCGCACCAAAGTCGTCCACGCTTCCGCTCTGGACAGAGTGATCAAACCGGCCCAGCAGCCAGGACTCATAGTGGAGACGAGCACTGCTGCCACGGTGACGTCCAGCACAGTCTTCCACGTGGCTCGTCCGCCCATCAAACTCCTGGTGTCGTCGTCTCTTCCCACCGACTCCGCCATGGCCGGACAGACTTCCTGCTCCAGTAATATGCAAATAACGGTGTCCCCTGCAATAATCAACCCCCGGACCGCTCTGTACACAGCCAACACCAAAGTTGCCTTTTCTGCCATGAGCAGCGTGCCCGTGGCGCCCATGCAGGGCAGCTTCTGCGCCAACAGCAACGCGGCCTCCTCCAGCAGCCACCCGTCCCCGTCCTTCACCACCATGGCCAACCTGCCCAGCTGCCCCGCGCCCAGCTCCAGCCCCACGCTCCCCTCCGGCGCCGACAACAACTTCTACAGCAGCAGCAGCAGCAGCAGTAGCAGCAGCAGCAGCAGCGGCTCGGCCGGGAGCGTGCCCGTCCCCAACCAGAACCACCATCACCACCACCACCAGCAGCCGCCGCCGCAGCCCCCTGGCTGCATGGTGTGCAGCTCCTGCGGCTGCAGCGGCAACTGCGGCTCCAGCGGCATGACCGTCAGCTACGCCAACTATTTCCAGCACCCCTTTTCAGGACCTTCCATGTTTACTTTCCCTTTCCTGCCCTTCAACCCCCTGTGTAGCAACGGCTACATCAACACGCAGCAGTACAACAGCAGCACCACGTTCCCCGTGGTGCACACGGCCTACAACAGCGGCCTGGCCCCCGACTCCGTCATGGCCGGCCAGTCCACCTTCGCCGTGCCCCCCATGCAGAACTTTATGGCGGGCACGGCCGGGGTGTACCAGGCACAGGGGATGATGGGCAACGGCAACGGGTCAAGCCACAAAAAGAACGGGAACCTCTCCTGTTACAACTGCGGGGCCAGCGGGCACAGAGCTCAGGACTGCAAACAGCCACCCATGGATTTCAATCGGCAAGGTAAGGGCTGGGGGGACACACGGGGTCCTTTCCTGGGTGTAGAGTTCAGGCTGATGTTTCCAGCCTTTCATTCCTTTCTTTGGGATTATTTCCTTTGTGTCAAGTTACGGCTGATGTTTCTTCAAGTGGCTCATGGCTGCATTTGCGTGACCCTTTGGAATGCTTGTCTCTGGGTTTGGAGTAGGATCCAATCCAGAGGGTGGCTTTGAGACCTGCCCCTGGGGTCTGATGCTGTTTTGGAGTCTCTGGCTTGTAAAAATATTGTGTTATTAAAAGGTGGTGGTCTGATCTATTGGCAGATTTTAGGCAGCCCCATGAGGAGGACTCAGACGAGGCCCCTCAGGTGTGCTCTGTGGGGTTGGCACTGTTTTTTAGGGAGGGAAGAAATCTCAAGGAAGGGAGGGAGCTGCTGTGGACAGGTTGCAGCAGAACTGCTGTTGCTGCCTCTGCGTTCTCAGCCAGGTCAGCTTTGCAAGTTCCCCTGGAATTTTAGAAACTGAAATCTCTGATCCTCTTCCCTTCCTCCCAACACAATAACCTAAATGAAGAATTGCTGTTCAAACCCTCCTGTCAGGGTGGGCAGGCCTGGCATAGGTGCCCAGAGAAGCACCCAAGCTCCAGCGATTCATTGCATGGCTAGGAGGCAGCAGGTTGGTTTGGGAGGCCATGGGAGGTGACTGATGTGTAACTCTGTGTCCCTGTCCCTGTCCCAGGTACGTTCAGGCTGAAGTACGCCCCTCCCTCGGAAAGCCTGGACTCCACAGACTGAGCTTCCCCAGCTGGCACCACGATGCTGTAAAGCCATGGAGAGCGACGGAGATCGAACTGCAAAACTGAGACGTCCAGTTGCTGTTAAGCTTAATGTATTTTTTAATCCAAAGGTGCTTTACTTTATTAGACTAGGTAGAAAATCTAGCTTAGGGGTGCAACCAACCCAGTTTTGATTGCCAAATTCAAGCTTTGGAACTCCTTGGAGTTGTTGGAACTCCTGACTCGGTGTCCTCGGACCGATGGATGGACAGATGGATGGATGGATGGATGGTGGAGCTGGCCAGCTGCAGTTCCTGCTGGAAGTACAACATCCCCTGTACTTTTTTGGCTGGAGAATGTTGCCACAAATGGACTTTTCCAAGGTGAAAGGCCTGACTCCAGGGCAGCTGTGTTCTGAGGTGGAAGGTAGGAGTGGCCAGAAGGACTTTGGCACCCCTGGGCTAGGTAAAATGTCTACTTTTTTTCAAAAGTGATCAGGCACTAATCTCTGGGATTTTTAAGGATTGCACTACAGAAGAATGTAAAACTCTTCAAGCTTTCTGCACTTTTAGCAGACAGTGTCACTCTGAGACCAGTGCAAGAGGCAAAGAAGTTCCAACCTTTACAAATTGGCACCAGCAGGCTTACGGGACTTAATTCCACAATAAAAATCCTAAAAAGTCTCTTTTTTTCCCTTCCAAAAGAACACACACGACAGTTTCGGTTCCTTCTGGAAACAAACTCGTGCTTCATTGTCTCACCTATTACTAGCTAGTGCTGGCTTCCCAGCACTGGAATAAACTTAGTTTCCAAGGGTCCAAGTCCCAGAGACTCCAGAGTCATAAAAGCTTCAAGGATATTTTCCTGTCATACACAAAACCTTTACGTCCTGTTACTGTATATAGGTCTCTTTCACAGAAACCTTATTATTCTGCTTTTGTAAATGAATTTTAAACCATCCTTAAAAAAAAAAAAATCAAACTAAGAACTCTGGCAGCAGAGTTGATAAGCTTTTGCTTTACTTTATATAAAATACCCTTTGGCTCCTACCCCAGGATTCAGGAGTGGTGGGAGTCAAACATGTAAAAGGTAGTAAAAACTTCATTATTATCAAGACTTGGAAGGATTTCTTGTCGGCCTCCTTCGTTGCAGTAGGTTGTAGATGAGTAGCTTTGGTGTTAACTACTTAGTCCATCATTTGTGGGTGACAAATCTAAATTAGGACTCGAGAGGAAGCCAAACCCATCTCGAACTGCTAATTTGAAACACTTTGGTCCTGTCTGGTTGAAAGAAGATCCTAATCCTCATGGCTCTCCCCCCCTGGGAATATGACAGCATTAAATGGGTGAGGCCTCCTCTGTAAAAGTGTCTGACAGAGAGGAATTTGCATCCTGTAATTTGGGAGACACCTTTAAAGTCTGAAGCCTTGTTTACACTCGGAGGAATTCCTTACGGCAGGATGAATCCATAGGATTGGCTTGGGCAGTCCTCTGGCAGCAGGAGGGTGTGGAGCTGCCCCCGGGAGCTGGGGCTGTGTCAGGGGGGAGCTCAGCCCTGCCTGGGCCCTGCTCATAGGAAAGGGACATTCTGGGCCATCCCTGTGTCCCTGCCTCTCCCAGGGCAGCCTCAGCCTGGCGGGATCATGAGCATCAGGAGAGCCTCGGGAATGTGGGCGGGCAGAACCCAACTGGGCCAGGGAGGGATCCAAACCCTCAATTTGCAGAACAAACAAACAAACAAACAAACAAACAAAAGATACTTTTATTGCTATGCAATAAGAACCCCCTGATTTGTGTATCCCCAGCCCAGCTCCCTGTTGGCTCTGCCTGTGTTTGAGGACGTTCCCTGTGTTCCCATGAACAACCTTCAGACCTACAACACTAAAGGGATGAAAACTGACAATGCAATTTACTTTGCCTTAATGAGCTCGAGACAATGGTAGGAACAGTCTGTCCCACTGCATCATGCCCAAGGAAAACGTGCAGTTCCATGTTTACTATTTGCAGCTTTGAGGGTCTCTCCAGTGGCCTGGAACATGTGCTGAAAGCCAAACTTAGTGTTATTATTATTATTATTGTTGTTGTTATTATTTTTTCACTTTTTTTAAACAGTATTTTAAAATTGTATTTAAAGAAACTGTATTTCAACACACATGTGAGTGTTCAAAAACCCTCTTGAAACAGCAAAAAACAGCAGCAGCAAAAAAAAAGTCATTTCTGTACCAGTTGTGTTTTGTTTTACTGCCCAGGGCTGGGCACAGTTGTGTCTGATCTTCCTCACAGAAAGAAATCATATCAAAAGGACTGTAAAACTGAATGTCTGTCCAGCAAATTGTTTCATTCCTTTCTCCAGAGCTTTCTTTAGGATCCTTTCCTGTGTGTAGAGTTCAGGCTGATGTTTCCAGCAAACTGTTTCATTCCTTTCTTTGGGATTGTTTCCTTTGTGTCAAGTTCTGGCTGATGTTTCTTCAAGTGGCTCGTGGCTGCGTTTGGGTGGCGCTTTGGAACGGTTGGGTCTGGGTTTGGAGTAGGATCCAACCCAGAAGGACCTGGAGGCAACACGAGTGTCCTGAGAGGAAAATCTGGTGAGCCAGCAGCAACCTCAGAGCCTCCCCCAAATCCCAGCGAGCTGGGGCTTCAGACCTGCCAGTGAACACCCTCCACTCTGAACCCACAACAACCAAAGTTGGTAAGTCCGAACAGAGCACCTTAATTCCATAAAAATATCCTTAATCTCTTCTTCAAAGGCACAAATCCATCTTTTTACCCCTAAAAAGCAAAGCAGCTTGGGTGGGAATAGTAGAGTTCCAGCTGCCCTGCCTGAAGGAAGCAGTTCTTAAACCCTATTTTTGTACATTGAAAGATGGAGATTTCAAAGAATGTTATTTAGCCCTATCTTTGTCCTGCAAGTATAAAAAGAATTAGTTCTCCAGATGGATTTCACTGTGGGATGGGAATGATTTCTCAGTGTAAGAGGGAAGGGAATCCCCAGTGATCTCCCTGCAGGGGCAGGAGAATCAGTGAGGAGCCTTTCCCAGGGGAGGGAGCAGTGGGGGGGGGCAGTTCCAGCTGCATTTTCCATTTGATGATGGAAAGACTTGAAATAGGATGGAATTTCCAGTGAACTCCTCCTCACCCTGCAAATTAAGCATTAATAAATATTCTGGGCTCGACCCTAACAGGGAGTGCAGAGAGGGAGGAGAGGGAACTGAGATACTGATCAGAGGGTTCCACCTGACTTTTATTGAAAACCACATTTGAACCAATACTAAAGTTTATCAGAACTGGTTTTTATCCAAACCAGCTCTGTCACACTCAGTTTTTCGTGAAAAATTTTCATTAAATCTTCATTAAATCTTGGCAAATTAAGCACCAGACTTCCCAAGGAAGAGTCCAGCCCCTTGGCCATGTCCCCACATCCCAGAGAAATCCTGGGATGAGCCAGGCTGGGGCACCAGGCACAACAAAGCTCCTCCCAAAGTCCTGCAGGGGAGCAGAGCTGTGCCAGAGGGACCCTGGGAGCGCTGGACTGGGGCTAGTCTGGAACACCTGGAAATGGGATGAATATGGGCAAATCTGGACAAAAATCCACATATTGGAGTTTGTGAGAGTAGGAATCACTTTGGCTGGTTGAGGCCCCACAGCTCTTGTAATAAACCCTTGGAATTACTCATTTGTTCCCTGAAATTTTCCTGATGTACACAAGAACTGTGTTGGTACTGAAGCAGAAAGCAAATCCCGTGTGTTTTCAAGTGCAGATTAACAGCTTCTCTTGGACATAACTTTCCATTAGGAATGAAGGAAATTCCTGCTCCATTTGAGCCATTTCTTTTACTTCGATCACTTCTAGTATTACAAATTCTGCATGTAACTTTATAAATATTTTAAATAGTTTTGTAAATATTTAATATTCAGCTAATTTGATTTTGAATTGTAAATGTCAAGTATTCTGGTATTGGGATTTTTATGTTTTATTATACTTTGTTAAAAGTTAAATTGTACATTTTTAGAATGTTTTTATCTGAGTAAATTTAATGTATGGAAAATAAAGAGTTAAACAGAATCCCTTGCTATTGGCTTTCCTTTTAAAGGGATTCAGCTGTGTGGGGGCTTCTCCAGCTTGGCAGTAGCAGAGAATTATTTTTAATTCCTTTAATTATTTTGCTGTGAAAACGCCTAGGAATAACCACACGAGCCAGAATTAAGTTGGGATGTAATCCATCCATATCAGCACTGTATTAATTTTAAAAAAGCAACATTTGTACAGGAATATCAGTCGATCACATCGTAATTACAAGTACAGTTGTCAGTTATGAGTTAAACGAGTTCTTACACGAACAGAACTAAACAGAGAACAAGCTGCATCGAAAAGTTCACGTCGGAGTAAAAACACAAAGGACAATAAAAAACGGGCAGGGGGCCCCGGGAGAAAGGAGATGCATGCAAAGAGTGGAGGAGGTACGAGGTGGAGGAGGTACGAGGTGGAGGAGGTACAACGCGTGCACCCCGCGCAGTGCCAGGCGCTGTAGTATTGCTTCTGTCCCCGCCAGAGCCGGTGACACCGGGGACACACGGACACCGCGGGGATCCCGCCACGCCTCGCCGACAGCACTAGAGAAACACAGGTTATCCCACGGGAGAGCTCCCCTCTGCACAGCCTGCTCCCTGCCCGGCACACAGGAGCCTCCAGCCGTGCCACAAATCATTTGTTCGGCAGCTCTGGGCAGCCGCTCCCGGCCCTGAGCTGCTCCTCCCGACTGCCGACCTCCGGGCTAGGGGCAGGATCCTATGGATCACTGGAAGCCAGCTCAGATGAACACACAGGGATTGGGAATTCGCAACAGACTGGAGTTTATTTCAGTGTTACCTGTTTGGGTGTGCATTTTACAGTTAGACACTTCCTAAATCTACGATAAAGCTGTGGTGTTTGGTATGAGTATTCCAGAAAGCGGCGCCGCCCCTGAGCGTGCGGCGCCCAAAAACCGGAGACACAAAGAGTTGTCCTTCCCCAGCTCACCCCGAGCACTTGCCTTAACTCCCTGCAGCACTGACACGAGTCTGGTGGAGCTGCAGAAGAAAAAGCTCCCCTTTGGACCATTAAAATGCATTTGCTCTCATGAGAAACCTTCCCATTTAAAACCAAAAAATTTAAGGAATCGTAGGGAGATTTTCCAGCAAACTCACGGGAAACACTTTAGTTCCTCCCTG